ATACACATGTAGTAAAACCTGGCTTCCATTTTTTTTGTTTGTATTTAGAGTTATTGTTGGAAACTACACTTAGTGACTTTTTTTAAATAATTTATCTGAATATATAAAAAATCTGCATCCCTACTCAGAAATTTTAAACTTACCTTGACTACATTTCAATAAGAACCTAAATGCTAATCAAGTAATGATAAAAAACTATATAAATATTTGAATTTTACATGTGGATGAGGCGTTTAAATGCATTTTTATATGAGCGAGTGTGATGCAAGGTAACGGTAATTAAGTTAGAACACAATTCTGTGTCCTATCTCATTTTATTCACATAAATGTAAAAAGATCTGTTGTTTATGGGTCATAGGTGAAGAGCATTAGAACCAACAAGTCTCTTGAATACAAAAACTATGATTGTGCATCGAAATTAAATATCTAAATTTAAGACATAGGTACTGTGAACATGAAAACAACTACTGTTTATTTTTAACTATACTTGTCATAAGACTTTAAGTTACACGTATGATATATTTTAACACTACATTCTTAATCTAGTCCCTTAGGTGATAGTAGTATTTCAACCACACTATATTCATGTGTGTGTAAAGTCATATAAAAGTCAGAGTGAGAGACAGATTACCTTCAGCCACCATGCTTGGAATACTGCTTGGTGTAACTTTAAGTGTGTGTGTGTGTTTTCATATTAAGTACCATTTAATAATGTTTTACAACATTCCACTTGTTATGTTTTAAGATCAGAAAATCAGAAGTCTTTCAACAGTTCTATACATTAATGGAAAGTAATTTATACAATCTGATTGGTGTATTATAGGTTTCTATTTATTTTGTACGATCACAATTTATTGATCATCTGCATTCCTCGTTACATACACGTACACTAGAACGACAGTTCTGTATTCAGATCTGTAATAGACAGAATGCCGATCTTCAGTCTTTAGTTCATGGATCATCTGCGGTATTCAGTACGTACACGTACACTAGAACGACAGTTCTGTATTCAGATTTGTAATAGACAGAATGCCGATCTTCAATCTTTAGTTGTTGCTTTTTGTTGATGATACCTGATTTCCACATAAAACAAATTTAGTACCAGTGAACTATTCAAGACTCCTAGTGTGAGTTAATGGATATTGTAAAAAAAAATGAAGCAAAAACTTAAATATTCTTTACACTGAAAAAAATAATGTTAATGAACAAAGTTTTTTGCCAGAATTTAGTGATAGTTACTTTAATTAAGTCCATAACTTGCTGCATTCAAAGTTTTTAACATGGAAGTATAGTAGTTTGTTTGTTATGGACCTGGCCTGGCCAGGTGGTTAGGGCACTCGACTCGCAATCTGAGGGTCGCGGGTTCGAATCCCCGTCACACCAAACATGCTCGCCCTTTCAGCCGTGGGGGTGTTATAATGTGACGGTCCATCCCACTATTCGTTGGTAAAAGAGTAGCCCAAGAGTTGGTGGTGATGACTAGCTGCCTTCCCTCTAGTCTTACACTGCTAAATTAGGGACAGCTAGTGCAGATAGCCCTCGTGTAGCTTTGCACGAAATCCATAACAAACAAACTACTATACTTCCATACTATACTATTCGTTGGTAAAAGAGTAGCCCAAGAGTTGGTGGTGATGACTAGCTGCCTTCTCTCTAGTCTTACACTGCTAAATTAGGGACAGCTAGCCCTCATGTAGCTTTGCGCAAAACCGGAAGTGTAAGTTTTCTTTTTTTATTAATTTCTTAGAAAACATTTTGCTATCAAACTTAAGTTTGCTTTTCTTACAGAACACAGGAGTGTCCATGCCGACAACACTGATATGGTTAGACTCCTGTGCCAGTGTCTACAGTGCAGAAAATTAACATTCAAGGATATCTTTTGTCATTTAAGGTAGTGTTCTTTGGAAAGTAAAGTAATTATTCTTTACAGATACATGTTTATTAAATCAAAGGGTAAACTTTATAAGAGCATCATAAAAGTAAAAAAGAAAAAAAAATATATATATACACATACAAGGCCATGCCAATCATTGATGGCACCCTGTGTGAAATATAAATTCCATGCCCTTCCTCAAAAAAGTTAATCTAACATTGACTTAAAGATACAAACTCAAACCCCTATTGGTCAGCACTCTATGTGGATACACTGTTTTCTATACCCTTTTTAAGAAATTGTGGGTGTTTATGAACAGCAAAAGCAGAATTTTAATCTATCTTTTGGCTGACAGAGGCAGGGACATTAGTTTGCGTCTTATTCTGTCTTTATGTTAACCAGTGGGGTGTTATTGATATTCGTTGATTTTTTCTTTCTCACAACAGAAATACTTGAAGGAGACTCACTAACTGGTATCTATTTCAACTTCAAAAAATTATATAATTCAATACTTTTTCTATCATTTATTACATTTTGAAATTTCCAAAATTTTGTTGCCAGACACTGTTTTGAAAATATTTCCTTTCTGCATAGTCTTTTAAATTTCTTATTTTTTGTCAGAATATTACTTTATCTGATCAGTTTCTACTTGATTGATTAGATTGATTGATTGACACTCATTAGCATATTTCTTTTGATAATTTATTTGGTCAGTTGTGATGAAAACTGGCATGGACTTATCAGTGACTTATGACCTGACCTTTCATAATGACATCACCATAACCTTAGTCAGGCTAGATAACAGTATATGGGCCCATCTACTTCACCAATGTACAAGTCTTCACAAGAGCAGTCGAGATTGTACACACTGTTTTGTACTTTTATGGAACTTTCTGGGTGGTATTGTGATGAGTCTTTTTAGGGTTAGAATTGAATATAAAAGTATATGAGAGTTGAAAAGTTTTAGGTTTGTTGCTGATTTTTACAGGTTTTGGTTTTGTTTCTTTTGGCTCTAACTTATAACATTGCTGAAATATAACTGACCTTGAAATGTAGAGAATGCTGTTTGTTAGTTGGCAAGGGGAATAAGATGTTCAGGAATGGGTAGTTCAGTTTCTGAGTCATGGACTTAGAAGGGACAAAAATTTGTTGAATAAGCTGGAGCCGTGTATCAGTGACAGTGTTTGTCCTTTGGTGACCCTTATGGAGCTTATGAAGTTCAATTATGGGTTCTCTATTCCAAGTAATACCATGACCTTTCAAATAGGACTACAACTATACTATCAGGCAGGTGGCAGCACTGCCTATGTAGGGATGGCCTGGATTGTTCATCAAATTGTTATTTTAAATATCTCCTCAGTAGGTCAACAGAACTTTACAATACTATACAGTGTTTCATTTTATAACAATATCTATGTAATGACTGAGTCACAAGTTCTGACAATGTCTGTTAATATCATAACAAAATGTTTGAATTTCTTGTTCTTCTTTCTTCTGCTTCTTTTTTATTATATGATAACTCAAAAACCAAAACAATGGTATCAACCAATTTCACTGAGGTGACATAGTTTCAAATTGAGTATCAACTTTTGTAAGTATTATTGATAACTAGTAGTAATTAATGATGTTATCATTATCCCTTGAAGTTAGCTTTATTACAAAAATTTGGTGTTG